CAGGGTGCCCTTTGGTGAACAGGCACTATGCTCCAGGATGACGTCACTAGACCAGTTTTCCCCAGGCTAGTAGCATCAGAATCACCTGAGGCAATTAGTACAAATATAGAATCTCCTTCCCCTAGAGCTATGGTCCCCAACTCTAGGGGGCACAGACCATTTCTGGCCTATAGTCTGTTAGGACCTGGGCAACACAGTTCTGCCTCCTGTCCCACTCCCTACCCACCCCCACCAGTCCATGGAAAAACTGTGTTCCATGAAACCAGTCCCTGTTACCACAAAGGTTCTGGTCTGTGGCCTATTAAGAACTGGGCCACACAGCAGGAGGTGAGCGGTGGGTGAAGGAGTGTAGCTTCATCTGTATTTACAACAGTTCCCCAGCTCCCTAGCTCTACATCCCTTGCATCACTGCCTGAGCTCTGCTTCCTGTCCCATCCCCACCTAACCTCCAACCCATGGAAAAACTTTCAACTGGTCCCTGATGCCAAAAAGGTTGGGAATTGCTGCCCTACAGAGTCTGATTCAGCAGATCTTGAGAAGGGCCTAGAATGATGGATAATAAACAAGGAGCTCTGACGATTCTTACTGGGCATGTTGGACAATAGGCAGCTGGATGGTCCACCTTCACAAGCCCTGGGGCTTCCAGGACAGGAGGGTCCTCGGGGATTCCCACTTATCCCCTTCCCCACAAGGTCTGCCAAGCCTGGGCTGCTCAGCTCCCAACCTGGGAGGCTGTGCTGCACAGTGAACTTGTGAAAAACATGAAAGAAAGATCTGTCACTGTGCTCTTTTCACTTCACAGGGCCCCTGCAACATCTGCAACTTCTACTCCACCCCACCCCACCTTTGGTTCTGATGATGATGCTAAACATAACCCCATTTTCAGGAACCCAAGAAGCATCTGGGCTGTCAACACTGCCAACTTGTTCACACCTTCTGAAACCAACCCATGAGACAGGAATTCACACGTGGCCTACCTACCCTCCTCAGAGTAGGCACCTGCAGGCAAGAAGGTGTCCAGGTGTTGCCCCATCATAGGTTTCAGAGAGGTCCCCCTGAGGTAAAGAGCTAGAACAGGAGAAGGGGTGCCTGGGCCCTGGCCCAGCTCCACCAGCAACATGGTGGATGATCTTTGAATAAGTACCATCTACTCTCAGGGTACTGATTTCCCCACTGTGAATTGCAGGAATGCCACTGGATGATCTCTAAGGTCTTAAAAGACCCTGACATATCTAGAGACACTTGGTTAGCCAAGAGAGCAGGGACCCAAAGCAAGATCTTCTGACAAATCCTCATTCTCCTCTTCCCTGCCCCCCAGAGAGCATGAATGCCCAACCAGACAGAAAGAAATGAGTGTCCTGGACAATCACTAACCATCATTCTCACCTTCATCTCTCCTACCTCAATACCCAGGCTGTCCTCATGTCCATCCTTGTACCTTCTCTCCCCACTCTCCCTAGACACTCTCCCTTCCCACGATCACTCAGGTCTTTGATTTAAACATGTGACAGTTCTCAAAAGCCCATCTCTCTCCCACACCTCTCTCCTGAACCTACAGCCAATAGGACACAGCAGCCATATGCCATGTGCACCTTAAACTCAACCTGTCCCAGATGAGCTCTCATGCAGCCCCACCACCATTCACCACCTATGGCCAAACTCGCTTCTCCTCCAGGGTTCCCTCAGCACTAACACTGCTGCCCACCCAGTACAAGAGCTGATTCCTGGGTGGTCCCTTCTATCCCCCTCTTCTCCCCCTCCCCACATTCTCTCTCTCATACATGCACACTCATACACACACACTCTAGTATCAAGAACACTCTGACATTCCATGGTAGCCTATCAAATACCAACCCAGAATCTTTATTCTGAAATGTTTATTTAATGCAAACACTCCCTGTGATATACATCAAGACCACTTCCAATTTGTATCAACCAATACTTTCTGGGCACCTGCTGTGTGCCAAGTTGTGTGGCAGCCCAAGGAAAGGTGGGTGGAGGGAGGGAGAGAAGATGGACAAGACAGTTCCTGCCTTCTAGGAGCTCCCTGCTGAGGCTACGGTAGAACCTAAGGCAGAAAATTACCCTGGTTCAAGGGGGGCCGAGGAAGTTGCTCCTCCAAGGGCTTCTGCAGAGCTTTATCACTGAACAGCCTCTTCTCTCCCTCCTGCTCCCTTCTGTGCCCTTCTCACAATCCCTACCACACCTCCAACACATCAAGAACACCCTGACCCCAAGTCTTGTCCTCTTTACCCAGTCTGACAATTCTTTCCCCACCTTCTCTCTCTGAAGCCTCCACAGCTCTGAGACTCCTACAGCTCACACCTCTGAGACTAGATGGTGTACAGCAAGCTCAGCCTCGAGGTGAATGCCTTCTTGG